GTCGAGGACAACACTCGCCGAAGCGTGACGTCATACTCGCTTTTGTGGATTGGTACAGCGGAATTTTCGGGCAGCGGATGCCGCACAAGCCTTGGACCACGCTCTACACAGCCACGAAAGGCGTGAGTAAATCCTGTTTTTTTACCGTCGTGTCACTGCTGGGTGTCGGCGGACGCATTCCGATAGCACCTCAGACGGCAGCTTGCGTGCCCGCCTTGTTGTGTATTGCCTTTATACGTACCATCATATTATTGTACAGACAACACTCAGCAGCGTGTGGGCTCGGTAAACACTTTTCAGGAAAGAAGAGGACGGGGGGGGGGCGGGGGGGGGGCGATACTGCTGTCATTTAATACACTTCGCGGACGTGCAGTTCAGTCTTTTGCCCTATGCATGGGATAATTTGCTAAGGTGAACCTCACATGCATGCGTACCCTTTTCTCGCTAAGCGCGCGTGCTACTCGTATTGATGACCCTAGCATGTAGATCGGACGAAATGACCCAAGGCTAAGCTAAATATTCCTGCATTTCTTCCATACCACCCGCACAGTCTTTAGATCCTTGGGATTCGGANAAGCATGTGGATCGGACGAAATGACCCAAGGCTAAGCTAAATATTCCTGCATTTCTTCCATACCACCCGCACAGTCTTTAGATCCTTGGGATTCGCAACTGAAGTATGGTACCTCCGAAGAAGACAACAACACAACGAATCCCCCGCCCCCACTACTTATTACCGNGTTCAGGTCCAGCTTCGAAATCTTATTGCGGGCTTTAAACTCCGCGTATGTCGTTCTATTTCTTATGTCAAGTGTCTTATTTCTTCATGCCGCCAAATCCTGCTGCATTTATAAAATCGGCAATTTCTTGTTTTCTGCCTGCTCACGAGAGCTGGCGGAGACCACCATGTAAACCGTACAGCAGACAGCGTGGTTCGCCTGCTGCCTGGCGTGCTGTGCCAGAGCCGGGTCGCCAGAGAGCGACAGAGCCGGCAGGTGGCCGGAGGGGGCGCCGCAAAAAAACACACTCCCCCCTCGTCGTACAACTATTAATAATGCACTTGAGAGGGGNACAGACTCTCCCGTAACCCCTCGTTTCTTGTGTAGTACGGCAGCGGTCGCCGATGTTTACTATTGAGACATTTCTTTTTGTGTGACCCCGACGGAGCCATGTTTCTTAACCCTCTTTCCTTATTTTTCACGGAAAAGTGAGCCTCTATTTCTCCAAAAATATCTATTAATCGCGGTCGCCAACTCTAGAAACAGGACGACCCCCACCCCCACGAGTGCGCGAGTGTACTTCGTATTTGCTTTCGCGAGTCGGGGCGATGAGCAAGGTCTAACCATATCGCATGTACCACACCTTTCTGCAGGAGATGTACGCCCGTTTTGCGGAGCACACACGCCATGTGCACGGAGAGGTCGACTCAGGATTCAGCAGGCCGTACTTCAATCAAATAGAGTTCTCTAGTCGAGTCTCTTGTGGCATTAACGCCATAGTCTAGTGCGGGAAACACAAACCATGTCTGCGAAAGACTCTGGGAACTCTGGTGGGGGGGAGGCCGGCCCAACTCACGAGGAGCTTAGGACGGCCATCGACGACGCCGTGGGCGACGCTAGCACCGGACTGGAGAAGATGGTGACGGAGAAATTGGAGGGCATCATGGACGCCTTGTCCCGTTTAGTGCCCGGGACACCGCCCGTCGGAAGTGCGACCGCAGCGGACGGCGGGGGGGAGTCACTGGGGAGGATGCACGCCTTCCCTGGCGCGGGTCAGTTGGACCACGCGCCGAATACCGGACGAGGGCTCGAGGGAGCGAGAGGACTGCGAGGCCCGGAATCACGAGAGCCTACACCATACGGTGCTACCTCGCGAGAAGGAGTCAGCAGAAAGAAGCAAGCTTCACGGTATGCTTTCAGCTCGCATGTCCGGATACAACGTCTTAAACAGTTGGACGTCATCGGAGATGAAAAGAACCGGCTGATGTTTCCATTACGCAGGTGCAGAGTTGTGAATGGGTCGTGCCTTGAGTGACAGCAGAGACATTGTGGTCCTAGGCATAGACGATGATGGCATGGTAGAGCAGGGGGTGGAAGTAGGGGAGATGGCCACGTACATACCGGGATCTGTGGGGGATGCTGACCCGAGGTATCTTCAACAACTCCACAAAAATGCTCGTATTTTCACGGTTCCCCGATGCGCTTTCCCCGAAATCTGAGATTTAAAAGCAGCAGCTGCTCGCCCAGAAAACACTCGATGAAGAAGAGATTTTGAGAGTGCTNCCATTACGCAGGTGCAGAGTTGTGAATGGGTCGTGCCTTGAGTGACAGCAGAGACATTGTGGTCCTAGGCATAGACGATGATGGCATGGTAGAGCAGGGGGTGGAAGTAGGGGAGATGGCCACGTACATACCGGGATCTGTGGGGGATGCTGACCCGAGGTATCTTCAACAACTCCACAAAAATGCTCGTATTTTCACGGTTCCCCGATGCGCTTTCCCCGAAATCTGAGATTTAAAAGCAGCAGCTGCTCGCCCAGAAAACACTCGATGAAGAAGAGATTTTGAGAGTGCTTCGCTCACGGGCTGGGCAACTGCAAGCGAAGGAAAAGAAGGGGAAGAGTGATCGGCGAGCGAATCATCATGCGTTCGTAGCAGTAGAGGGGAACGGGAGAGGGAAGAGACCGTCGAAAAAGAACCGAGGTGACGAAGAGGCGAACTTGGCCAGCGATAAGAGAGCCAAGTGCTACGTCTGTGATGGGGACCACGTTGCGAGTGCATGCTTAGAGAATCTTTGCCAGAGGTGCGGGAAAAAGGGGCACAACGTGAAAAACTGCCCATCGAGAACTGAGACTGCAGTCACCGCAATTGAGGTTGGAGTTGGTGCTGTCGAGTTGGACGTCGCATACGAAGCACTCTGATGATATCTAGATCTGTTTTTTTCCAGCGGTGCACCAAAGCCCCTCCCCTTTCGTGCCTTGCGTGCAATTCGGCTCGTCGGCACTTTCCTGTTAAGAGCCGATTTTGATGATGCGACTGACGAAGTGCAAAGGGGAATCTTTTCTGGTGTGTTTTTTTCCGCCGCTCGCTCGTTGTTGTTTTTTTTTCTTGTGTGTTTGATCGGGATACGAACGCTGTCCACGAAACCCGATGTTGCCTGTCCGATATACCATGCGCATCTCAGCAACTAACCGCGTAGGTTGAGCCATGATGAGGCTCATTGCACGACGAAATACTGAGGATGGTATGGCATTCCGTTGTTGTCTCATTTTGAGGACTGGTGGTCCGCGGGGCACCGCGGTCCACACCAATTTGATTGATGATGTTCGGAATTATTTCCCGGTCTCTTGTTTCACAGGGTTAGGCCGGTTTTGAACGGACCGACTTTTTGTCAACATTTTTGAAAGTGTCAAAAAAATGGAACCTGTATATAGGCGTTTGTTTGTCCATTTTTTTCAAAAATATTTGGAACGAAGTTGGGCGCGAAAACTTTGCTCCACTTCGTTCCAACTTTTTGACAACCCTCTCAAAGTATTTGGAGCACTTTGGGTTCCATTTTTTTGACAAAATTTCGACAAAAAGTCGGTCCGTTTAATACGGCCCTTATTTGCCTGAAATCAGGGAGGGCTGACGTATGACCCTCGTTCCGTGATAGATGGTGACCAGCTCTCTCATATTTTCACAGATAGGTCTCAACAAGTCGATTGATGCGCTGTTTTGATGTAGACGCTGCTTTGATCTTCCTGTCATGTGTAGGCTGAGAGGGGGCACCCTCCCCTAACATGTGGTTGATTGCTCTTTTATATGATCTTTCATCGATGTACAGACCGAGGGGGGCACCTCTCACTGTCATATGATCGACAATGGGGATTGGGGTTGTAGACGCGCCCCGTTGCTAATAATAGCAGCTGGATACAGTATGGGATCCTGTTGCTGGGAGGGGGTTACTTGTGAAGGAGTAGCAAAAAATCTCTTGGCCCAGTGTCGCTCGAAGCGGCGGACCGCTTGTGGTTGAGATACTGCTTGATCTTCCAATTGGTTGATCGCCTTCTTTAACCCTTTTGTGACTTCACCCCTCCTGAGTGTCGATAAGAATGTTGTTACTCTTCCTGTCGCCCAAGTTTTTCGTCGAAAGTCGCACGGCAAGCGCGGGCTCGACAGCGCGAAAAGACCGCGTTCTCAGAGGAAGTCTGAACGCGGGGACACCAGACACACAGTTCCCGACGCAAGTAATACACGAGCAGGGAGTTCCATTGCGGTGCAGATCCGCGAGTGCGCGCCAGACCACACACACACACAGACGCCAGCAGGTGCGATGAAGACAAAATGTTTCGCCCTAATGGCGGCTTTTCTCCCCCGCACCATCATGGCTACTGCTGCTGCTGCTGCTGCCGTGTCTACTGCTGCTCTTCGCCCCGAACCTGAAGTCGAAGTTACGGGTGTGTGCACACCCCAAGAGCTCCTGCCCCAAGCCTACCGCCTCGGCCGTGACGCGGCCAACAAGGCAGGGTTTGAGTCCGGTCTTCCCAA